CAAACAACTTTAAACCGTTCTGAAGATGTGGTGAGGGGAGGGTGGTATTGAGGAGGGGGCAAGAGAGAGAAATACGAGAGGTTTGAGGGAAGGGACAAATCCCACAGCACATGATGTTGTGTTAATTCAACACCCCTCCCCTCCCCATTTCACCCTCAGTAGCCTGTCCGGATCGTCGGGTTTTAATAGATCTTCAGAGGTTTCCGAGAGCGTTGTTTAAACTTCTAATTATGATCCATGTTGGAGATAATATTAATTTAATAATCAGGGGCTGTGCAGAGAGCATTAACCTCAATTAAGCTCATTACTGTGTTAACCTGCAATCCCCTGTGCATTTAAATCTTCCTCATAAGTGCTTGACACTATTGATGGAACCTGATCTGTTGTATGGGTTGGACGGAACGGACGGGGGTGGGAATAAAATTTTAACCACTCCACCTCAGAACCCCACTTCTTCCCAATGGGTCGTGAGGTAGCGGCTGCCGGCTGTCCCTGTATGAAGTGAATCCTGGGCCCACATTATTTCCCCTCAGTATTGATTTTTTTTGTATTTCAGTTACTTTAACTGTTTCGAGCACTTAACACACAAAACGTAATTATTGACGCGGCTGTCCATTATTTAAGACACTTTCTCCTCCTCAGATTTTTTTTTGTCATGCTTAGAAATGCATTGATCGTTCCATCCTAATGTTCACTTGTTATTTCTTTGTATAGTTGTTCAGCCTCCAGGTTGAAGAGATGAAATATCATTTATATGTAGAAATGTTCTGGAGTTGGCCAGTCTCTTGCTTGAGTATTAACCCGTTGGGACTGAATCCACTTTATCGCTGAAGCGCGGACTTCAATTTCACCTGCATCGAGAACACTCGGGAATCCCACAACTGGATTTTGGGACCTTCAATCTCCTTTAATGACATTGACAGAATTAAAACACATGCAATTTCTTTCTAAGTGATCTCGCCCCCTTCAACCTGTAGAAACTTAAATATTAAGGTAGAATTTTATGTTATCACTGAATCTGTACAATGTATAACAATTATAATCGTTAGTTCGGGAAAACAAAAAATTCCAGTGGGTTTAAGAAAAAGTAAAAATGTTCTATCTTTTTGTCCATTCTATGGAACAGCAACACTGCGCCTCGAATGAATTTATTCTAACGGCGGCTGCAACGTGGAGGTGTGTCGGGGAGCCAGGATAAGGCGTTCTAACAAAAACAAAATACACTGTCCTTTCAGGTCAAGTGTAGTTTGAGAAGTTGTTGGGATACAAAAGAAAACGCTTTAAACCAAGCCGAGCGCCGGAAGCTCCAAGGGTTAGTTGGAGGACAGCATCTGGCCGTCAAATAAACCTGTTAGACCTTCAATAAAGTAAATAATCAGCAGGGGTCAAGGCGAGAAATAATAAACGCAATGTAGGTTGTCACAGATGCACTGATGTAATCATCTTTGCCTTTCCAGGCTGCCGCCCACTTCCGCCCCTCCCAGTCCCGTGGATGTTCAGAAATGATGCAACATTTTCAGAAGTGACTTTCCACCTGGGACAAAGGCTTCTGTAGGCAGGAATATCAGGATTTTTCTTATCTGATCTGATTTATTGTTGTCATGTGTACTTGAGTACAGTGAAAAGTTTTGTTTCGCGACTATTACCAGTGAGGGGGGGAATCGTGCCCGCCACAGAATTATAGACCATTTATTAACCGCGTTCTCAAGTTGAGATCTCCAGCTGCCTTCAGAAGTTACCAGGAGTCGTAGGTGCCTGGACAAGGGAGTGTTTTAGAGGAAGTCAGAGAATGTGCACCCACCGTGTTTTGTTCTATACTACAACCTGTGTGTCATTTTGGAGAATGATAACACTGAAAGTTTAGAACTCTCTAACCAAACTTCAACACTTAAAGCACCATTCTGGGATCGACTCAGCGAACCGCTGCAATGTGGAATATTGTTATAAATGGTGATTTAATAACCTCAATCCCCTACTCACTTTACATTCAGAGGAAACTAACATTTCTGTATTTCCTTTGATTTGATGTTTCATTGAGAAATGCCGAATAGATCCGCTCGTCCCACATTATCACTAGTTGGTGGAGCTTTTATTTTCTATCTAGCTTGGCTCCTTGGAAACTTACCGTTTGCTATTCGCAGTATTCAACGCACACACGATGAGGTTTAGATCTGACCCAAATCAAAAGTCTGATCAAATATGGCCAGAAACTTCAACCAGCTCACCTAAGAAATAAACTGGCCTGATTTTTTTGCTAAGACTGGAAGCTCTTGCAATATTGAAAATTCCTCTTTACCTCACGGACTGGATTGATATGATTTGCCGCAATCTGTTCAGCAAAGCGACAACAATGAATATTGGTCGCCAATCATCGTGACTCATAAAGAACTGTAATAAAGAGGTCGTCCGTAATCAGTGCGAAATCCAATTCGCTTTATAAATGTTCACATCCATGAATGGATGGGCATACACCATTTGAGTTCCGTCATTTTTTGTTGAGTGTTTTTAGTGAAGTGCCGGCCTTATCCAGAAGCTGTGGTTGAGTTGTAGAACAGCTCATTGCTGCTGACCGAGGAGTAATTTGCAGGAAATTAGAGGGTGGTCCCCGTGCTAAAGTTTGTCTGGCATTGACAACAGTCCACTGCTGTCCGTTACACCGTTTCATTTAGATGCAAATGAACGCCAGTAGCTTCTCCAAATAACAGGGATATAGTATCGCATACTGCAGCAGAGAGAGAGAGAGATAGACAGAGCTTTTTGTTTTTTTTATTTCCCTATTTGTCTCTCTGTTAAAAACTCTCAGATCAGGGGTAATTACACAACAGCCGACGACAGGGAGCATTCAAACTTTAAAAATTAACTTCAACTCCTTGCAATCTATGGAGAGAAGGGCTGGTCATTTGCACTGGCTGAATGAGATATTACTTGTCAGCTCTCATCTAGCAGCCGCGACATCTATATGATCCCCTGCAATCTCTTGTTTTTTTTACAGTAACACAATTTGCCAGATATATTAGGGACTGTCCGTACCAGACGTTACATTTATTCAGCTTTGTTACTACTGATTGGTATGTGAATAACTCTAAGTACTTTAATATTCTACTTCTTTATGTAATTTATTTGTATGTAACTTGTGTGGATGCGTGTAAAGCAATGTACATATCTGGATACTGCATGCGATTTTCCTCATTTATTTTCAGTTTTATGAGAAATGAAACTCTATTTGGAGAAATGGTAAATATATACCTGTGTCTCAATTTGATACACTTTGAAACTCGAACTCGTTTAAGTTCACAAGTCCGTATTAGATAAGAGGCATAAAACTACATTAAAATATTGTATTGTTCAGAATGTTCACCTTCAAAAGACCTTTTTTTAAAATTAAAGATTATTTTAAAGGGACTCGAGCACGCCCAAACTCTCATGTATCGTGTGGCTTGAATAAAAAACTTTTTGAACTGGTTTCAATATTTGCATATTTCATTGTATCTTCTTGTCCTGTCTGACAAAACAAATACACTTGTCTATCAATCATCCAACTGCCCATATACATCACCTCATAATATGATCCTCTACAGCACTGAGCAAAAAAGTTTCTAAAATTACACACAGGAGCAATTTTTAATTTAGCGTAAATATTAATTTAAGCATAAATCAGAATAAAGTCATTACACAAGTCGAAAATGTTATGGACGCTGATTGAAATCTAATAGCCTCTTTCAATTTGTCATATTATAGGAGTGCTTGGTGTCGCTGAGTGAAGTCGAAAGGCTGCAGTAACCCCCCTGGGTACCAGCCTTTGATGGTCTAATAATGTTCACACGTCCCACACCCCCTGCCGAAAATTACAACTGATTGTTTTGCCGATTATTTCACCGAACTTTTAATTTCTGCTTTCTAAAGGATCATTGCCCGCGGTAATTGCAAAGGACCTGTCCTTGTATGTGTCAGGAATCTGAAAGAGATAGAGAGAGAGAGAGAGAAAGGGGAGAATCTAATCTTTATGTTTGCCACCAAATTTGCTTTTTGGTGACTGATTCAAGGTGAGGAACGCTCCAAATCACAGGGAGACTGAATCTCGAAAGTTGGACTTTGGTTTAAAGGGGACGTTATAAAGTGTTAAAGACGGTACTGAGGAACGGTCACTCGACCGAAGCCTTAACTCTGATTTCTCTCCGCGGGTGCTACCAGACTTGCTGAGATTTTCCAGCAATTTCTGTTTTTGCTTCTAAAGCGTCTATTTTCTCACTATATTTACCATTACTTTTACAATTAAAACTAACTATTCCGTAGGAAAAAAAAAACCTTAAAAAGGCTATTTGTTATTCAATAAATTAAAGCAATCTCTCCCTTTGGCGGACTGATACTTAATTTTGTAATGATGAAATATAAAAATTGGTTAACTTTAATTTCTAGTCAAGCGTTCCTTTCTTAAAATAAAACCGACGTCTTAGATCCGAGGAGTGACGTGTAAAACAGAAGATTAGGTGTTTAGGTACAAAATAGTCCTTTGTTTGCCACCCCCTCCCACCCACCACAATTATTAAAAGAAAGCACCACCCTCTTCCAAATAAGGCTATTTAGATGCTTTACAGATGAGTGGGACTGTGCTGAAAAAATCCTGACAGCCAAGTATATCACAGGCAGCATCATCCGTCTCTCTCTCTCTGTGATGTAGATTAGAAGCTATTAGGGGCAATGGATTAATTTGTAGCCAATTACAAAACGTTGCTGAATATGAATGCATAAATAACACGCAGTCTGGCGAGTACAGGGGCAGAAATGTCTAGGGGGAGTCCTAGGGGAAACAGCGAAGACCTTCTGAGGATCAGGAGCACTTTGTGACTTCACGTTCGTACCTTTGATCGACGCCAGGGGTGCATAGGAATCAAAGATTTGGCTGCATATAATACGGTTTTTTTGAAAAAAAAGACTATTAAATAGTTGTTTTGCGTGGGGGACGGGGGAGGGAGGAGAGGGGGGTTTGGTGGTGAGAAGTCATGAATGTGAATAGAGAAAAGGTTCAGCCCGCTGATATCTCCTTACCATCAGCGGCAGTGGCAGATCCGATATCTTGTACCATCCACACTGAAGCCATGGATGTGAATGGGGACCAGAGGCTCCCAGGCAATGACCTAGCTCCCTACTCCTGCCCGGCAAGCCGGGAAAGGACAGGAGACACGCAGGGCATCTCTGGTCAAGAAGCAGTGGTCGTGGTCCCTGCCCCAACCAGCAACAACAGGACCACCTCGTTCTCGGTCTTGGACATTTTGGATCCCAACAAATTTAACGGCAGCAAACGCCGGCAATGCAGCATTCTGTACAGAGCGGCCAGCGAGTACACAGGAGCAGCGGCGGGGGAGAGGGCTGCGGACGCTTTTTGTGAAATTGCAGATCAGAAAACGCTAAGTGAAAGCGGTTTGGACACATGCAAGAAGGTCACTGACATAATCAGTAAGTATATCCAGGTCATGGGCGCTATCATAACGCATCCCGACGCGCACAAGTGGTGCTCCAAGTTTTTGCGCTGATGTGCAAAAGTCAGAAGCGCCGCTGAAAACGCGAGAAAACAGCGATCGGGTTTTAAAAATATATATACATAGCCATAGCCTCTTTCCCCACCCCTGCCCTTCGTGTGTTTACAACCTAAAGCCGCTGGCAGTAATGACTTGTGGTTGCAGACGCTTTAATAAGTGTTAAGGCTAGCGTTCTGCCTATGGTGAACCGGCAGGTACGATGAGCCAGTGTAGTAGCAGTCTGTTTAGTGTTATAAGTAGTAGAGTGAGAACGTTTCCTTTCACCATGATCTTAATAGATCTATCTTAGTTGGGTGATTCCGTGTTGGTTTGGAGTGGTTTGTGATTTTCAAATTACTTTGTGGTTATGATAGATTTTGCAAGTCAATATGGTTTAGCGTCTTGAATTAGTCCGTCCTTAGAAACCGCCGGATGATTAGGTGTAATTACCTTTGTATCATTTGAAGCTTCTTAAATTGCAGTTGGCTAGTCTCTTTTTAAAGAGGTCGCTTGCCAGGAATAAATAGGAATCGCTGCCGTTTAAAGGCGTTTTATCCAATCTTTCAAAGACATCTCTGGAGTTTATCCTTCATGCTTTGGGCGACAGATTCAATTTTCTCTCTCCCCTTCGGTTTTTAGGACGAATCAGACTAATTGTGACAAAACGCTGGTTATCTCTAGAAAAACAATTAAATTTCTTCGATTACATTTAAGGTAAAATGTGCTTAGCAGCGTTAAAGAGCTCTTGTAATGGCGGAAATCGCCCCAGAGTGGCATGTTGGGCTGGGGTGATCGATATCCTATTATCGAATTCTGCATATCTCTTTCAAACAGCTTGCAAACACTCCTAAAACGTCTAAATTATAGGGTCAAAATTCGGATAATTACTCGATTAAAACGTATTACAGTTATTAGTGGCTGTTATTGATTGTGTATTGCTTTCGACCCAGGCTCCAGATTGCAACCTGCGCACATCTTTTCAAAAAAAATACCAACTTTCTTGCCACAAATCTGGTGACACAAGGACGGAAAGACACAACAGCAGTATTTTCCGTCGACTTCTAAGTAGCAGCCTGGATGGCCACATTATTATAATGCGTGTTATCTGGCAGTCAGTCATTTTACCCGATATGATCCAGGTGTATTATTCTGTTAAAGTTTGAGTATGTACAGTTATTGTTTGGACCAAGTCAAGCATGTTATACACAAAATAAGCAGACCAGACGCAAATTAAAATAAGAATGCATTAGAAGGTCAGCTAGTTAATTGCGGCCGTTCCCAGGGGACAGTTTCTGTAATAACAGGCTGCACGTTGCTCGTGTTTGGAAGCTGATTAAATGATGGGAGGGCAAACATGAACACTATTGTAAAGCAGGAGATTCGGGCAAAGAACGGAAGCTCTCCTGCGACAATATGTAATTTCTATTAAAGGTAGTAAATGTTTTTTAACTGCTTCATTCTTTCCCCCAACCCCCACCACCAACCCCACCCCCGGCTGTCTAATGAGGCCTTAATATGATCACAATTAATGTAAGTGTCCAGCAATTAGTTTCTGTAATAGACAGAATCCCCTTACTGACACCAATCGAGTTTAATTAGCATAGCCTTATATCTTTTAGAGATTTTTTTTAATTAACAGGGTCACTTTTATATGATTCAAGAGTTGTTTGTAAACGATACAAATGCGTGGAGGCGAGTACTTTTCAACATAGTGCATGGTATTCTTATTAAATAATTGTAAATATTAGTTATTAGCAGTTGGTCCCTACAGATTATTCAGATAGATTCAATGGCATATGCGCTTTATTCTTAGCAGCAAGAACAACATACACGATTGGGGTGCTCAGGAATGTGGTTATTCGGTTTTTCTTCACAAATGACACCGAGAGATGGCCGAAAGTGTCATTCCATGCGCTCGGATCAATCGGTAATTTCTTATCTCCCCACTTTCCAGAGTATAATCGAGGTAGAAAAGACAAGCAACACAAAAAATTAAGCAATCTCCGTTTCCTTCACAATTTCAACAGCATTCTCCTTCCTTGTGTTAACAGCTGATTCACAGAAAGATAACTTTTAATTTTTTAAAATATGTAAAAGGAAAGTGGTGAAGTAATTTCTATTATCCGGGACTGACGGAATCCGTTTATATTCAACAGATAACTTGTTAATATTATTATCGATATTGATCTCGCGCGCGGTTTTAATATTTTAGTCCATCTACACTGCTAATTGTAACAATAAATTGGATTCTGATTCTGAGTGTGTTCGCGTTTTGGTCACACGTTAACGTTTAAACATGAGTTGGGAAATCATAGTTTGGTGTAAAGTGCTTTTTTTAAAAAAAAATACATGTTTTAACGCGGCTGAGTTTAGTTTCTGAAGTTTCATTTGAAAATGAGCGGTGAATGCTTCAGAATCATTGATGAAACATTCAAAGGTGTCCCAAAGCGTGACTTTGCTCTTGTCCTTTCGTCTTCCAAACGATGTACCAATGTTGAGCTTTATCTAATCTCCCGCCTTCTCTTTCTATTTTCTTCACTCTCTCTCTCCCTCCCTTTTCCCCTGAACCCCGCCTCAGAAGATGGAGATTTCCTAGACAGTTACAAATCTGAGGAGTGTGAGAAGGACTTTTGCCGGAGTTTGGACACCACCGAGCAGATCTGTACCAGCAGCAGTGGCAGTAGCCAGAGCCCGCGTCGGGAAGAAGCCGAGGAGTACAGTGAAGATAGTGGTGGTGGGAGAGGAGGAGGAGGCAGTGGTGGTACTATCGTGACCGCTGCGGGAGAGAGGATGTCCGGGCTGGAAGGAGATGCTGAGGACGAAGAAGAAGAGGAGGAGGAGGAAGAGGAAGGAGGAGGTGCTGGAGGAGAAAGTTTGAGCCCACAAAGCCAACAGAGCCAGCACCAGCAGCAGCAATGTCAGCAGCAGCAGCAGGGTCAGAGCCAGCAACAGCACAGGAGCAAGAGGAAGCGCAGCGGCTCAGACGCTAAGTCTGGCAAACCGCGGCGGGCCCGCACTGCCTTCACCTACGAGCAGCTGGTGGCCCTGGAGAACAAGTTCAAGTCGACCCGCTACCTCTCGGTGTGCGAGCGCCTCAACCTGGCCCTGTCCCTGAGCCTGACCGAGACCCAGGTCAAGATCTGGTTCCAGAACCGGCGGACTAAGTGGAAGAAGCAGAACCCCGGGGCAGACACCAGCGCTCCTACCGGCGGAGGAGGGGCGGGAGCTGGGGCCGGAGCTGGTGCAGGAGGGCCAGGGGGAGGAGGAGCAGGAGGGGGAGGAGGATCGAGCTTGGGTGGCCCCGCCGGGACTCATCTCGGGGGCCTCAGCCCCATGAGCTCGTCGTCTCCTGTCGGCGGGCCACTGTCCGTGCACTCGGCTTACCCTGGCCCCGGGGGTCTGGTGTGCGCCACCCAGTTGCCCTTCCTGCCCTCCCCCGCCGCTGTGCTCTCCCCCTTCATGCTGAGCTCGCAGACTTACGGGGCCCCGGCTTTCTACGCGCCACATTTACAATAAGGCATCAGAAACGACACTCCAGCGCCCGCCCTGAACCACACGCGAACCCAAAATAACAACCCCAAACCACAAAGGTCATAGCAGCAGTACATCAAGTTCTTCAAACAGTAAACATTGACGGGGCTAACATCCTCGGTAACCCTGGCTGTTTACTCGCTGTGTCAACTGAAGATCTGTAACACTTTCAGACACTCGTCCAGGTGTCTAATATTGACACTTTGTATTTACCTTTGCTTTGTGTTTATCTTTATGAACTGCTACAAAAGTTAGAATTGTTAAATATTTTCTCCACACTATTTAATTGTTTTCTTTTAAACTGAGCACCTTTGCACTTAACCAAAGTTTTAGTTTCATATTTAATTCAAAATTCGGGATTCCTTAATCTTCATGTTCATTAGTTTCTTAAAAAAAACTGAGATATTTATGCTGGAACGAAGACACTGGGTCACCGAGAGAACCGGCGCTTCTGTGTCTCCCCCTACCCCCACCGTGCCAGCAATCTGCTGCATACATGCGGCGTGTTGCTCATGTTACTTCACACATTTATAACATTTATAATGCCTGATCGGCCACCCTGATGGCTGAAACTGCAACATAGGACACATCATGCCTCCCAAAGAAATTGCATGTTCTTTTTCCATCTCATGAAACTTCGTTCACGGGGGAGGGGCGGATGTCAATTCGCAAATAATCTTCCCTTTCAACAACTCTCTAAAACAAAACAAACATCTGTCTTGCTCTCGATTTTCAAAGTAAGTGTGGTGCGAGGAAAGGGAGTAACAACCCATGAAGCTGGATGTTGCCTTGTGTTTGTAGGGAATCGGTGTCCCTGTAACAGCCATAAATTAAAATGGAATATGTCAGTAGAGCAATTTTGAAGCGTTCAGTAATGCATCCGGTATTACTGTTCCAGGTATTTGGGAGGGGTGAGGGACCCAGAGAGTCTGTTTGGGAGGCGGTTATGACGGTCGCCTTTACCCCTACAGTTCCCAGTACTTTTTTTTAGTGCGTTGTTGAAATAAATATGCAGGTTCATTTTAGTCATGTTAACACTTCCCTGTAAACACGCTGAAATAAGAATACTGTATGTGTAACTGCGGCGAAAGTCTTACGTGTAGTGTGCAGGGCGTGAAAGGCCATTATTTCAAAGATGAAAGTAGAAAATTAATTATGGACCAAAAGATACTGAGGAGTGATTCACCAACCTTCCCTGTTTGTGTTGGTTTTTGGTGACTTTACTAGATCAACTTTTATTACATTAAATTTATTTTTGTTTTGCAAATTATATTAAGCAAAACTATTGCAAATTTTGCTGGTGCTAAAATAATAACTGGACGTTGTCGCATTTGATTTTAAGATCAGATTGCGTTATGGTGTCAATCCTGGTAAATTGGAGATTTTCGAAGACATAGAAGGCAGTTCCGATACCACAGTTTTGCACAGAAGCTTCTGTTACTCACTGGGGAGAAAATCAATAGTGAAGATGTTTTCAGGCAATCATTCCCCTTCCAGTTAATGTGAGGGTCATAGCATTGTCCTTCTGCCCCAAAGTTAACAACTTAATAAACCATGTTTATCGAATTTCATATCAGATACCCTCGAAAGTTGTTCTGAGGTTGTGGGACTATTACAACAGGTTCGTAAAAGGGAGAATAAAATAAAACCGTTTTATATATTTTAATCTCATGGCACTTCTTGTGATTACATAATAAGGTTGTACCACCCACGAATATTAAACTGGAAACTTTCCCCTAATGTTCTCTCAAAATAGGAAAAGATTATTGCATCAAAACGTCACCTGAACGTGAATTAACTGGAAGAAACTTGTTGATGTCACTAACGGTTATGTATTTTTTGGTAATCTGCCTGAAATGGTTTCTAATTCTTAATGAAATGACACTGAAGAAACCCACTGGATATCTAAAAACAATTTATATTGATAATTGTGTTAATATCTTATTAATATTATTGTAATATTATTGTTCGTTTTCTGTTAAATGTGTTATGAAACACCCAACTCAAGGTCTCAGGGTACATAATTTACAAAAGTAGAAATTCTGTATATCGTTGACAGAGAGTGCTTTCTCTCGTGAAACCATTATTATCCATTACTTGAATTATTAATTTTTGGATGAAGGAACCGCCTAGTTCACGGAACGAGGAACTGGAAAAGGCAAAAAAAATCAATAAACACTCTTAACAATCTTTTTTTTTAATAAAACGCCGTGACACGGAGAATGGTAACAAAACACATCAATGTCAGAAAAGGATTTGAGATTTTGTTGCTTTTATTTACACTGTATATTTAATATGTTCAATAGTTGAATTTGTAATTGATGTAACTTATGAGAGAGTGGTACTCTGAAATTATATGGCTAATGAACGAACGAGCACTTTGGTAGCTAAAATACTTTAAATGAACAATCAATAAATGAGTCTATGCTAATCACCGTTTTTGCCTGTTGTATTTTAGTGATAGTGGACTCACCGGCAATAAATATATTTGACACATTGTACATGCATTTCCGCATTTTGAACAATTTGCACTCTTATTAAAATGCAACTATACTTTTTGGAAAGAAAAGCTATAAGCGAAATTTGGACGGTGCTTGCCTAAACATTCTGGTCGAGTCGTTTTAAACCATTTCTGGCCACCTCGCCCGTCTTGTTTCGCTCGCCCCTCCCGCCTTTTCTCCTCCTCTACAGCATGGCAAAACTTTTGCCTCGCCTGATTTCTTAGATACCCTCTTCTGAATTCATGTTGCGTCTCTGAATCATTGTATCATTTCCTCCTTTTGAATCCTTCCCGTCTTTCTTTCCTCGTCAACCCTGAACATGTTATCGACCGGCGTCTAGTAAAGTTGCAAAACATTTTGTTTTGAGGTGCGGGGAAATAGAAGTGTGAGTGTGAACTGGGAGTTAGAAAAGGCAACCACAACATCCCCCACAACATCGTACGGTTAAAATTATGTTTTGTTTTGTTGACTGCACTCTCGTTTCCAATCTTTTCAGGCATTTCCGTTGTAATTTCATTCATCGACATTTGCTTCCTCGTCCTATTTGTTTTTTAAGATTTTTTTCTGCTTCATCTTTATTTAAAATAACAAAGTCTTTTACCCGGCCATCCTCTGCATTTTCTTTTCCAACTACCGTTTTAGTCTGTCACACTGTAATTTCTTTCCTATGTTTTAGTGCGCGCACATTTCTCCATTAAAATGTCAGATGTATCATCGGCCTAACTTACAGAAGAAAAAGTCATCGGAAAACGAGGGTTAAGTTTCGTTAATAGAGAGTGATTGTGGCCAGTAAAATTCCTTATTCGTCTGATAGGATTTGTTCTAAAGACCTTCCTGATTAATATCTGATTGTTGTTGTCACAGATGATTTTTGAGCTCATGAAATTTCCATTACGTGGAATTGGAAGCGATGCTGGCGCACCTCTTTTTTCCTAATTTAACGAGACTTCCAAAGACAAGCAAATCCGAGGGCCGTGTTCCCAATACAATTAGCTGGTTCCCAACTGCTGGCACAGTAGCTTGTTGCGTGACGGTACAAAACGATACCCTTCTAATCCTATTAACTGTTTGTCCTTGTTTGCTTTCCTGAGTGAGGCTTTTTTTTTGATAGCCTTTTCTGCGACTGCTAGCACATGAAGCGTGAGGAACTCATACCGCCTGACGCACACACAAAAAAAATGCATCTCTCCACCGAAATTGATCATGTCGAAATGCAAATTGGTTAATGAAAAGAGATAGCAGGAACTGCAGATGCTGGAGAATCTGAGAAGGGTCTAGGCCCGAAACGTCAGCCTTCCTGCTCCTCTGGTGCTGCTTGGCCTGCTGTGTTCATCCACCTTGTTACTTTCTTGGTTAATGAAAACTCAGGTTTGTCCCTGTTGTGAATACGTGAAGAACGTCCTCTGCAGCTGCTGTGGTGCCCAACTCCGCGCTCAGTCCAGTTTAGCTTGGCAGCACCTCAACACACACTGAAACAAAATGTTGGGTCTAGAACTTTGAAATTAAGTGAAAAAAAATAGAGAATTCTGGAGAAACTCAGGAGGTCAGGCAGCATCCATGGAGAGAGAGAAAACCAATATTCCCAGTCAAATACGACTCTAACCTCTCCACCTCAGTGGCTTGGCTCTGATTTTGATGTTATGTCCCCTTAACCAAGAGTCTGCCACCACTTTCTCTCTGGCTACACTTTCAATTCCTTTTAAAATCATAACACCTCAACCAAATCACCCTTATTTTTCTACATTGCAGGGAATACAAGCCTAGTAAATGAAATCTGTCTCTATAATCTAACCCTCGGTACTCTGTTAACCTTTTGGGAAATTTGTACTGCGTGCTTCCTCAAGTTCAGTTCTGCATTCCTCAAATGTACTGCCACCTGTACATTGTCCTATAAGTCATGTTTTCTACAGGTAAAGCAAAACTGCCTGCCTGTAATATTCTGTACACCCCAACCTGGGCGGTACAGTGGCTCAGTGGACAGCACTGCTGCCTCACAGCACCAGGCACTGGGGTTTGATTCCAGCCTTGGGTGACTGTCTGTGTGGAGTCTGCACATTCTCCCTGTGTCTGTGTGGGTTTGTTCCAGTTTCCTCCCACAGTCCAAAAATGTCCAGGTTAGATGGATTGGCCATGCTAAATTGCCCATAGTATTCAGGGATATGTGGGCTAGGTATATGAGCTATGGGATATGTAGGGTTACAAAGATGGGGTGGGTCTGGGTGGGATACTCTTCAGAGAGTCAGTATGCAGTCAATTGGCTGAATGGCCTGCTTCCACACTGTAGGGATTATAATCCCCTCACGAGCAGGCATAAATTTAATATTCTGCTAGCTCCTTTTTGTTCCTGATATTTCACTAATCTTTGTGCATGGACCCAAAAATCATTTGGACTGCCACTGTTCCTATCATTTCACCATTTAAATAATATTCAGATCTATCTTTATTTGGGCCAAAATGGATGACCTCACTTAATGGCATTGAAAT